GCTTTATAGATAATTTCCTTGTGCGTGGAAAGTAAAATCGGCGAAATACCATGACCGAATCAAATAAAGACAAGGCGTATGAAGCATAACTGGTGAAATACAAAGAAGTGGATGCTGATGGAACAGTTAAATCAGTAAAACGAAAAATTGATTCCCTAGGGGGCATTCCGAAAGAAATTGAAAAAGGTTAAAGAATCTTTGAAATCTGGTACTAGGTCGGAGGATACGTACAAACCGCACCTCTGGTAGACGATGCAGATGAAAGTAATGCTGGAGATGCCGATGTAGTACATTCTGAGGTATGTATGTATGTATGTTGTTACTCTTTCACGCAAAAGCTACTAAATGGATTTTCATGAAATTCTACAATAATGTAGCTTATACATCAGAATAACACATAGGTTTCGGGTATTTTATGCATCCTAGTGCCTGCGGTGAAATAATACCAGAAAACCTCAGATCCTCGTAGCTGCGGCCAGTGATCAGAAACTGCAGAGTAGCTGTTAGGCGTTCGTGAGGACTGATGCATTGACATAAATGGGTATTAGGTCTCTCAATTAACGGCATTACCTACTAGTTTTAACAGTTTCCGATACGTATCCTCGTCCATCCTCAAGTAATTGTGCCAATCGCTAATCTTAGCTCCTCCAATGAATTTTGTATGTGATAGTGTACTGCATTTAAGTAGCCAGTCTTTAGTCCATTTTCTTCGAGATTTTATTTTTTCGCGATTTGTTTCCACTGCCAAAACCGCTGCCACTGTTAACAAGCACGTTAGGTCCATCGTGATAAACTGCCGTGAAAAAAAAAAAACTGTTGTGTGTGGACATATCAGTCAACGTTCTTCCTTCCTACGTTTTTAACCGTCGGTTAAAAACGGAGAAAAAGAACGAGGTGAGTGGGGCCCTTTAGCCCTCAAGTATTCAGGCGTTTTTAGGGAAAACAAATGTGATGTTTTAACCGTCATAAATATGAAAACAAACTGATTATAAAAAAAAAACAAAATTCCTCAATTTTAATTTAAAAATGCATATACGGCGTTTTAGATTAAAATGTTGTCTTTGTTATATAAGACAGATATGCCGTATGTGCTTAAGTAAAGCCCAGAATGGCTCGACAAAAGTGCTTAAAATATTTGTTTTGTGAAAATTATAAATAAAACAATAAGTTTTCATTTAAATGTACTTTATTAGATTACATATATACCGATGCTTTCATTTTCTTTGGTTTGTTCTGGTTCATTTAAAATAATCTGGTTATTTATTATTCGGCATGGCATGTCAACTTCTGTAAATCTGTATCCGGTTTCATTTGCATTTTCCCCTTGGTCCATAGTACTAGTACTTTGAGTAGGTTGTTCCTGGGATAAAATCCTCAAATTATTTTCCAATGGTACTTCCTTAATTTTTTGAAAATTATCTTCGACCGAATCATTTAGATCAGTCAAAAGATAACCATCTTCAGTTACAACTTCGACATTTTGCTGATTATTAGGGCTTGCCAAAGTCTCGTTACCGGACATGTCGGGTTCCTTCGGTACTAAAGAAAGGATTTTCTTAGATCTACTTGACATTTTTCTGAAAATATTAAATGGGTGTCACTAAAAAATAATTACCAGGAATTCAAAATTACTGTTTGGTAATTTTCGCACAAAATTAACCAATTTTGTTATTACCAATAATGAATAATTATTAATTGTTAAATAGTTATTTAGTAGGTAATTTTAATTTCGTTATAAAACTTAGTAGACATTTTAGTAAGATGAGACATTGAAGAAACTCGACTTACTTTTTACATTACATATGAAAGGACATTTCAAAGTCATTTAATGTTGTTTTTAGTGCAAAAATTTAAATAAAAGTTTATATAGATATAGTTCTACCTTTAATAAATTAACTTATAAATATACATACCTTTAATAATGCAAATATCACGAAAAAATATTAACGCTTTATCAACTAATACACTTGACTCTTGGAATGCACTGGACAAATAAACACAAATCGCCGGTAAATCATAAATTATGACGCAAACGGCGTACCTGACTGGTCCTAACTGGAAAAGCCGTATCTTCACAGAAGCACACGGCATTTATAATTGGTACTATGCACGTACGGCGTATTTTCTTGGAACAGAATACTAACTTTGCAGATACGGCTAATTATTATGTTGGATTTTTTGTATTTCGGAGACATATACGGCATTTCATCTTGGTAAAAAGTTAATTTAGCTTGCTTCGAACCCGTTGATTCAAAAATCTCAAAATCCGATTTTTTTGGGACGGCAGTGTAGTTGGTAACTATATTCTCGCGTAAGGCGACCGAAATGTGTCTTTACTTCTAATTCACATGTAATTAAATGAAGCACATTTGGGACATCGCGACCGATGAAAGAAACGCGACAGCACTTTTAACACGGTAGGGTTTGCTCCCTTGTTGCCTGTCGTTGTCGCCTTGCATCGGTTTAGCGTTACAAATTTTTCAAGTCTTGGATATTCTGGTACTTCAAAAAGCTATAGGAAGCCGTTCGTGGTATTTCAGATTTGATAACTCAAATTGACCAGCAGGTACTTTCAAGATTTTGTTGCTTTTGTAGGTGATATTAACACAAAAGTAGCAAAGGCTAATACAGCAACAGGTATTGATCTTGGTTCCGGGACACAGTGGTGTGGAGGGCAACGTAAAAGCCGACGTACTTGCTAAAAGAGGAACCAAATCTGTTTTCATAGGACCAGAACCATTCCTGGGCATTGCAAAGAGCACTGCCAAAGGAATTATCTCAAAATGGATGGAAGATGCAACACTCACGAACTGGAGAGATACCCCAGGGCTAACTCATTCGAAGGCGTTTATAACCAACCCTTTGTAACTTATTTTAAGCAAATTATTTACAGGTAGAAATAAATATCTGTAGTTTATGTATATTTGTTCTAAATTTTTGCTCGAGCAAAACAAGTTTATTGGATTATACTCTTTTCATGGTAATTGAATTTGTTAAAAAAAAGGAGTTTACGTGTATTTAATGAAAATTAGAAATCAGGATATATATTCTACACAGAAAGAGAAATATAACACTCATAATACACAGAAATTACAACCTGTTCACAAATAACGTCTGTTAAAAATAACACAGGTTGTCAATCATAACCCCCATAATTATTGCAGAAATTAGCCATTAACGTATCATTTTGAAAGTTCTCACCATTTTGGTTAGCTGGTATTTGACTATTATTTTTTGTTGATGTTTCATTTGTCGCCTCTGATATAATATGGTATTTTTTTTTTAAATTGTGTTGCGAATGGTGTATTAAATTTTTATAATAATTGTGTGTTTTTTTAATAGATTATTTCTGTATATTTTAAATTCATTTTCTAGTTCTGGGGAAAAGTTTTTGTAAACATTTTTTTTCATTTTATCTCTATTATGATTGAAATAATCAAGCCATCAGTAATCCATGGTATTATTTTTAGGTGAGTTTGTTTTCTTATTACCTTTTCTTTGTTGCAATCAGCTATATGTTTATTAAACATTTTAAGAAAAAAATTCATTGCTACTTGCGCATTATTTGAGTCAATTTTATTTTGCCAGTTTTCGGTTTCCAGTAGTGATTTTATTATCCCTTCTTACTCTTTTAGAATTAATTATATATCGTGAAATACCTACAAAACAGCATATTATGAGTGTTATATTTCTCTTTCTGTGTAGAATATATATCCTGATTTCTAATTTTCATTAAATACACGTAAACTCCTTTTTTTTAACAAATTCAATTACCATGAAAAGAGTATAATCCAATAAACTTGTTTTGCTTGACTACAGATATTTATTTCTACCTGTAAATAATTTGCTTAAAATAAGTTACAAAGGGTTGGTTATAAACGCCTTCGAATGAGTTAGCCCTGGGGTATCTCTCCAGTTCGTGAGTGTTGCATCTTCATTCCATTTTGAGATAATTCCTTTGGCAGTGCTCTTTGCAATGCCCAGGAATGGTTCTGGTCCTATGAAAACAGATTTGGTTCCTCTTTTAGCAAGTACGTCGGCTTTTACGTTGCCCTCCACACCACTGTGTCCCGGAACCAAGATCAAAGTAACTTTGTTCCGAGTACCGAGACATTCAAGGGTATTACAAGTTAGGTAATAAACCGGTCCAAGAATGATGTTCTACGTAGTGAGCAAAATCAAAGGTAGAGTGTTGAAACTCAAGTTCTACCTCTGCTGTCTTTTCTTTGGATATAATTCAATACCTGTTGCTGTATTAGCCTTTGCTACTTTTGTGTTAATATCACCTACAAAAGCAACAAAATCTTTAAAGTACCTTCTGGTCAATTTGAGTTATCAAATCTGAAATACCACGAACGGCTTCCTATAGCTTTTTGAAGTACCAGAATATCCAAGACTTGAAAAATTTGTAACGCTAAACCGATGCAAGGCGACAACGACAGGCAACAAGGGAGCAAACCCTACCGTGTTAAAAGTGCTGTCGCATTTCTTTCATCGATCGCGATGTCCCAAATGTGCTTCATTTAATTACATGTGAATTAGAAGTAAAGACACATTTCGGTCGTCTTACGCGGTCGCTTGCTTCCTGTCTCCTGTCTCGGTCTAGCGTTCCCAAATGTTACCTTAATAAAGAATATAGTTACCAACTACACTGCCGTCCTAAAAACAGATGCCGTATCTACAAAAAAATCGGATTTTGAGATTTTTGAATCAACGGGTTCGAGGCAAGCTAAATTAACTTTTTACCAAGATGAAATGCCGTATATGTCTCCGAAATACAAAAAATCCAACATAATAATTAGCCGTATCTGCAAAGTTAGTATTCTGTTCCAAGAAAATACGCCGTACGTGCATAGTAGCAATTATAAATGCCGTGTGCTTCTGTGAAGATACGGCTTTTCCAGTTAAGACCAGTCAGGTACGCCGTTTGCGTGATAATTTATGATTTACCGGCGATTTGTGTTTATTTGTCCAGTGCATTCCAAGAGTCAAGTGTATTAGTTGATAAAGCGTTAATATTTTTTCATGATATTTGCATTATTAAAGGTATGTATATTTATAAGTTAATTTATTAAAGGTAGAACTATATCTATATAAACTGTTATTTAAATTTTTGCACTAAAAACAACATTAAATGACTTTGAAATGTCCTTTCATATGTAATGTAAAAAGTAAGTCGAGTTTCTTCAATGTCTCATCTTACTAAAATGTCTACTAAGTTTTCTAACGAAATTAAAATTACCTACTAAATAACTATTTAACAATTAATAATTATTCATTATTGGTAATAACAAAATTGGTTAATTTTGTGCGAAAATTACCAAACAGTAATTTTGAATTCCTGGTAATTATTTTTTAGTGACACCCATTTAATATTTTCAGAAAAATGTCAAGTAGATCTAAGAAAATCCTTTCTTTGGTACCGAAGAAACCCGACATGTCCGGTAACGAGACTTTGGCAAGCCCTAATAATCAGCAAAATGTCGAAGTTGTAACTGAAGATGGTTATCTTTTGACTGATCTAAATGATTCGGTCGAAGATAATTTTCAAAAAATTAAGGAAGTAAGAGCGAATTATTATAATATGGAAATTCTGGAACCCCAAGTATTTACCAGCTTGATTAGTGTACCATTGGAAAATAATTTGAGGATTTTATCCCAGGAACAACCTACTCAAAGTACTAGTACTATGGACCAAGGGGAAAATGCAAATGAAACCGGATACAGATTTACAGAAGTTGATATGCCATGCCGAATAATAAATAACCAGATTATTTTAAATGAACCAGAACAAACCAAAGAAAATGAAAGCATCGGTATATATGTAATCTAATAAAGTACATTTAAATGAAAACGTATTGTTTTATTTATAATTTTCACAGAACAAATATTTTAAGCACTTTTGTCGAGCCATGAATTTAAAATATACAGAAATAATCTATTAAAAAAACACACAATTATTATAAAAATTTAATACACCATTCGCAACACAATTTAAAAAAAAAATACCATATTATATCAGAGGCGACAAATGAAACATCAACAAAAAATAATAGTCAAATACCAGCTAACCAAAATGGTGAGAACTTTCAAAATGATACGTTAATGGCTAATTTCTGCAATAATTATGGGGGTTATGATTGACAACCTGTGTTATTTTTAACAGGTCTGTTATTTTATAAACACACAGAAATTACAACCTGTTCACAAATAACGTCTGTTAAAAATAACGTTACTTGTCAATCATAACCCCATATTTCTCCAACATAGGTACCAAAATAATAAATTCTATTTCTGAGGCCAATGATTTCAACCATAATATTCCACTTAACACTAAGACAATGTACTTAACTCTTGTATCAACGAATGAAATTATTGGACACATTAACTTTCTTAAAAATGTAAGTGCCCCTGGTTATGACAACATAACATCTAAACTAATCAAAACTATACATACATACATCCTTTTGCCATTATCTCATATAATTTTTATGACAGGCCAAATACCTCAAGAATTCAAAAAAGTATCATTACTCCCATTTTTAAATCTGGAGACAAACAAAATATATCTAACTACAGACCAATTAGTGTTATAACTAGACCTAGGAATATATGCACCCAAAAAGTAGTTAAATATGCGCATATATATGCCGCAAAATACTTCAATATATGCGTAAAAAATTGAAAAATATGCAGAGCATATGCAATAAGAGTAATTCGTTATTTGATCGAAATAGTTTATTAATATTTATTATTTGTTTTATTTTACAATACCTAATATAATACTTAATAATTATTTAATTATTAACTAATTTTATTTACAAATCAACATTATAAAACGAATGAACAATTAGATGTTTTTCTAAATTATCTGTATTAAATTATTGTCTCCTATCAGTAAGTATGTACTTGTACAAAGAAAAACTCCTTTCGACATCTACAGAAGTAATAGGTGCAAACTTAAATTTTCCTGAAATATCTGGATCAATAGTATTAATATCTTCAAAGTTACCAGAATAAATATTAGCAAGGTTTCTTAAAACAATAAATCCTTCATTTTTTAAAATTACATTTGAAAATTTATGAAAAATCGTCTTTCCAATATCGCCCTAGACATTTATACACTCTGATTCAAACGTCTTAATTAAATTTACGGAAGTAACCAAAGGTAAATTTTTTTGTTCTAAATCTAATACAATTTTGGGTACAAATGCATAATTTTTTAAAAACACTAATTGCTTTGGTAATATGTGATTTTGAAAAGAAGCATTGATTATAACATTTTAAATGTTGGACGACCATGATTCCCAAATATTTTACTTAATTCGTTATTTATACAGAGTTTAATCATATTGTAGTTTGGTAAGTTAGAGGAATATGTTGTAAAAGCTAGATAGTAAGTTTTTGGAATAATTCACAGATAAGAGCCAGTCACTAAATCATTCTGACTCTACCTTATCCTTCAGCGTATTCCAGCAAGTATTATAGTAGATAATAACTGTATCGTCAGCAAAACTAGTGCAACTCTCCATATTAGAGGTACAATAAAGATCACTTATGTAAAAATTAAAAAGTGTTGGTCCTAAAGCTGTTCCTTGAGGTAAACCACATTAAACTGTTTTCATTTCACTTTGTTTGCCATTTATCCTAACACACTGAGTGACGACCATTCAAGTGTATATAGTGTCATATATATATATGTGATTTTTTATTACTTAGTTTATGCAAATTCACGAACTATTTTTGCTTAAAAAATAATAAAAAATGACGTTGACGAAATTTTTTATCGATCGGCTACTCCTGTCAAATTTGACATAATTTCAAAATTGCTAAAAATGTTAATTTTTTTTTTGTTTATTCGACTTTCTTAAATCCGCGAAGGCCAGTTAGATGTAATACAGTCATCTGCTGAAGAGTTTTTTTAAATATTTTTGAAAAAATGTAATTTTTTTGAAAATTTGTCAAATTTGACAGTTATGGCAGACCGGCAGAAAAAATCGTCATCATTTTTTAATTAATTTTTAAGGAAAAACTGTTCATGAACTCTAAATTGGCGTAAACGATTAAATAAAAATTTTTATTGATATATTTTTACGTGCTCACTCTATAATATACCTATCTATATAATATATTATGTTCCAATTTATTTTTCTGATAATCAATGTATTTAAAATTTATGAGAATCTTTTTGAGCGTCAATATTTTTTGACTATTTTTGATAACGTTTTATCAATATTTATTTTACATTATTTTTGTTCAATACTTTTCTAAATCTATAAGAGATAGTGAAGTAATGAAGAGCATTAAATGATTACAAAGTGGGTCTACGTACCAGAAATATGAGTTATCATTATCTAATTTACTTGAGCAATTATGTAATATTTTTTGTTAGCCGTCGAGTTAATTCTATCGATTTACGTATTCTAACAAGGCAAATTAGTTGGAAAACACTATCTACTTTTCTAATTTCCTAAAAGGCATACGAAGGTTGATATCTATGCTCCAATATAAATGAAAAACAACAAACTAAATACAAAAACTGTAATAATTCAAAAGCAATCATTCAAATCTAATTGTGCTTGAAAGTCCTTTAGTGCTTGCAAGAACTTTAAATGGCTTAAAATGCGAAATTCAATTACTAAGCACTTTTTATAAAGGGCTTCAATTACCAATTAGCTAGAACTGTATTTTAAAAGCACTGTGCTCGAAGCACTATTGTGCTTGAAGCACTATTGTGCTTGAAGCACTTTTTCAAGCACTTTCCAGGCAATTACTGCTCAGCTCTGCTACAGCAACTGTACCCATCCTGGACTTTGCAAGGTCAAGAGGAAAATAATGAGTTTTTTCCCATTTCGCCCCTTAGAACTGATTAGTACCTTATTTACACTTCACACAGTATCCCAGATAGCACACTAAGGTAAGGTGGGGTAAGAGTTTAGTAAAATTATGCAAGTTTATTTATATGTACTCGTAAAAATTCAACCAAAGAAAATAATTAAATTTCTTGACATCAATATTTTACTTGTTGTCTTCCTAATATGCGGTAGTAGCAAAATCATTAAAATGTTAAAACATTTCATTTTGTGCTATTTTTTTTTAAAGTCCTTGAAGTGGGGGCAAGTGTGTACTTAGTGTCTATTTTGCTTATTTATGCATTTAAAGGAGCCAGGGGCATGTGTGTAAGTCTCAAAAGAACGATGTTTAATATTTTATAAACATTAATAAAAAAGGAAAATCGATCTATGAGTTACAAACTTTTTATTTAAAAATAACAATGAAACGTAAAAGTTACAATCGCCAAATTAAACTAAAAATCAAATTAAAGTATGAAAAATAAAAAAAAAATATTTTTAACCATTTATTTTAGATGATATTATAGTTTCATTGTATGTTATAAGCTGAACAATTCAGTTTAAACCATATTAGACCACGTTTAGTAAAGGTCGGTTTAGGAAGGGTTAATATTATATCCTCTCTAGCAATAATGACACATTCATCTGGATATTGCCACGCAAAAATTGAAGAGGATAAGGGATCTAAGGACGGTACTTTTTTGATAAATTTCATTTCCAATTCTTCTTCATATTTCTTTGCCTTAATAACTTGACCAACATAGTATTTTTTTAATTTTTTTCCTAATAAAGCCAGTAACACCCAGTCACCTTTATCTATATCTGTCAAAGGTTTATCCATGCATGCATCAAGTTCTTCCATCTCTCTAATATCTTCCTCTTTATATAGGTAATATTTTCATTTAAGTTTTCTCCATTTTTCTCTTCTTCAAAGTTTTGACTTTTGTTTCCTTTCATGAGACTTTGAACTTTATCATTTGTTATGACTTTCGCACCTTTAGCCTCTCTTCGTTTTTTTTTAAATAATGATCGTTTGTTTATTATCACAATCGCTCATAGGCCCTAGTTATAACCTAACGATTTTAGCAATTATTTTTAGCAACACAATTATTTAAATAGGAAGTTTTATTAATTTATAGATATACTAAAATCTACCAAAAACAAAATTGTCTAGTAAAACTATCCGCAAAATTAAAAAAACTACCAAAAAATAGACATCTACTAAACGTTGGATCAAATGTCTCCAGTTAGAGTGACCTGACCAAGCGAAGTTAACTTTAATTTCGTAATCTACGTGAGATGCACAAAATGGTTCTAAATATTGCCTAGTTTCAAACGAAGACACTGTGTTTCACGGATCTGGTGACTTTTCTTTTTAACTACGGGCATTCGCGGAAACCTTTCGCGTTTAATCAGTATATTGCACCGACAGACGCGACAAGTCAGACCGCAAGGGCGTACCAAAAATACATAGAGATTAACCTATTCAAAATTAATAAAAATAATGAAACTGAATTTATATTTTTATTTATGTGATTTTTAGATAATGAGTTTTTATGAAATTTAACAGACAGGTTACGTTCAGAGGGTGAAACTAGCAAAAAAATGTTTTCACCTAAAATCAAAACTTGACGGGTCCAAGCGTTTTTTCGTAAATGACCTGGGTGCCCAAAATTGGCTCTGTTTTATTTTCAAATGGCCATCCTGTATATATACAATACTCCATTATATGTGTTTTAAAAAATAATCAAAAGGGTTGCCAGATGCAAGATATCCCGATTTAGGTGGGAGCCTCCAGCCTATCCAGCAATTGGACATTTACCAATACCTTTTTTCTTCAAGAAAACTTTCATAAAATCAACGCTTTAAAATAGCTTTTTAAGTGCTTTTAAAAAACCGGTGGTGCTTTAAGTGAGGTGTGGAGGATGGGGGGGAGAGGGGGTGATAGCCTCCATTTCCTGCATAGAGACCGGGCACCCGA